TGAGTAACAAAAATGAAAAGAAAGATTTGATATGTTTGGAATGTCCACAAGTACTATTGATGCCTAGTAAACAGGCATTTGATATTGTTTTCCGCATACCTCGCAAAATACATAACTGATGATGATGTCTTGTGCTAAGTCTGTCTTCGGTGGAGCGACTTCCGGATGTTGGATTGGTTGTGAGGGGTAAACTGGTATGACCCGAGGATCTGCTGTCATTTATGTCGGTAGGTAATAGGGATTATAGGCAGAGGATGTGGAGCTGAAGCTCAAAGATTAAGCTTTACTCAAGATTTTGGAGTCCCTTTTCCGGATCTTCTCCGTCATGGATGGAGTAGGGAAGCCAAGATTTGGAGGCAGCCTTGGTAACCAAGCAACCTACCTAACCCGCTTTACCACGGAGAGAGAGAGAGAGAGAGAGAGAGATCTAATCTTGGAAAGATCCAAATGCTGCAGCACCCTATGGAGGTTTAATATGCTGGGAATCCAAGGCGCTAGCTGCTGCATCAAATTCTTATTCCAGGCGTAGAAGCACGCAGGCTATCTATCTCGAAGTAAACAAGTGAGTTGTCCTCGAGATCGTGTCTGTCAGCTTTGCTTTGTATAAGCAAGAAAAATCCCATCGTATACTCGAACATCAAGGCAGGCACAGCCTTGGAGTGAGTGGTGTTTCGTTCAGTAACTCTCGACATTCTGCAACCTTTTACTCGGAAATCAATGGCTTCAGTCTTCACTTCAGAGGTCACTTTTTCTTTATTTGGTTTTCCTTTGTGTTTCTGGAGTAAACCATGTAAAGAGTCTCACATGGAGCACTCGTCCCTTAGCTTTGTGCTGGTGGAAGACAGGACCGAAGAGATGAGGGGCTCCTATGTCCCGTCTTCTGGGCCCTTCCACAGAATGAGATGATGACAGAGTAGCTTTGTCTTTAAGGTTGCACGGACGCTTGGACCGGTCTTCCCAGGTGAACAAAACCCCCGCCCTCCACCACAAGAAAGAGCGGTCGACCGTCACAACAGCAGCACTGAACACTGTACCATCTCCCACCAAATGAATCATTGTGTTGATCATGATGCAGACATACTAGATTTTCCTCTCTCTCGATAGATCCATCCCACATGGAATTGTAGCTGCTAGATCAGGTCCCATGGATTCGTAGTCAAATCCACCAGTGTCCGTATATTGCGCGAACCATCAATTGGTCTCCGTCCAACGGCGGCTACATAACCTATACATAAAGAGAAACGCAACACACACTACCGACCGACGCTTGGTTGAAAACCATGCCCATGCCCGAGGCCTCCGATCCGATCGGCGCCGCAGCTGTCGGGTTCCCTGCTAAGAAGATGGAAGGCTTTGTGGAAGCTCCTCTGTCCGAACGAGGGCTGGAGATAGCCAAGAGTCGAGAAGAGCTTCTGCGCCTCCTGCACGATCTCCCGGAATCCGAATTCGAGCTCTCCCTCACCGATCTTGTGGAGAAAGGAACCGGGGTTGCCGGTGATCCCGTGGCGAACAAGGCCGCGTCTTTGCTTGAAGGGCAGCTGAATCGGGCCAATGTCGTCAGTAAAGAGAGGAGGAGGAGGAAGAAACAGAAGCGAAGCAGCAGCAGGAGTAGCTTCGGAAGCAGCAGCGACGGCGTGCTGCTCAACTTCTACGTGCCGGCCTCCTTGTCGCGAAGCCTAACCACGCCGAGGTCGAGCCGCCGGCCTGCCGCCGCCGCAGCAACGACGGACTGGCGACGACAAGAGGTGAGCGAGCGATGAGTTCTTCCCTTCGCCATGCACCCGCTGGTTCGTCGAACTTTGCTTGTGAACTGCTTTCTTCATCAGTTTCTTCGTGAGGTCTCTGGAAAACACCGATCGACTAGGAAAGGAGTTAGAGAATCTCCCACCCTTACTGCTAAATCCAAGCACGTAAAACAATTGAGAGGTCTCCATTCTCATATCTAATAGAGCAGAGCAGATGTATATGTAATATGTATGTGGAGAAATAGGGAAGATGGCAAAAGATGAAGAGATGGAAGATGACGGTAAAAACAATATAAAAGAAGAATGATAAACAAAGCATAAGGGTTTAGAGAGAGAAGCAGCATAGCTAGATGGATGGGTTTATAATTTAGCATCCGTCAGCCCACAGAATGAAACGAAACGAAGCCTTGTTTTCTTGACTGCAATGGAGAATTGGTCGCCAAAATAATCTCAGAAAAGATACAGTTCTAATCATCCAAAGAGCATTTGGAGGGCGACCAGTTGCGTTATCTCTCGTTCTCCAGGGGGGGCATCCAGCCAAGAGAGAACAAACCATTGAAGAAAAAAGTCAGCTAAAATTCACAGATTCGATGCCCAACGCAGCTTGATAATGACACTGAGCAATTGTTCTTTTGAAAAGCTAGATCACATTCTTCATGTTTCTCCCTTTCTTTTTTGCTTTGCAGGACAGAGAGATGAAGACTTTAGGGTGCTGGTCGGGCCTGTGGCAGAGGGGGAGGGGGAAATGAAGGGGACACTTGGGTATCTTGTGTCGTTCATCTTTTCTGAAGCAGCTAAGCCACGTCTTCTTCATCCACCGATAGGCTTCCAAAGTTGTCATGTTTTGTCTGTAAATGATGTTTAACCCTTGTGGATCGGCGCTGTCATGTTCTCTTTGGTGCATTATAGCCTTTGATTCCTCAATCTCAGGATGGTTGGTGTTCAAGATCGAAGTCTAATTGTAACTGCAATCAACGACAAATAAGAAATGTCAGCTTTAGACAGGAAAGAGATGGAACAAATACAACACCACCTTCATTAAAATAGAAGCTGAAAAGAAGTCCAGAACTGATACCTGACAAAGTGAATGGAACAACAGCGTTCACAATTTGATGCATACAGAGTAAGCAAATAGGATTAATACAATAACTCGTTCCAAGCATCTTCCCTCCAGAAAACTTGATTTGAGCCAGACTAAGCCTTCTTCTTCATTGACAGCTGCAAGGATCTCTATGTGCTCAATGTCCATGACGGACTACATGTGATAAAACAAGTAAAGAGTCTTACCCAATGGGCAAAGGCACTGTCGGGAAGATACAAAACTTGCATTAGAATATATATCAGCCTGCAACAAGTCCACTATGTCTATCTGATCTTTGCAAAACGAAAGATACGAAAAGGACTTCAGTCCTTAGATACAGGGAGCAAGTCCTGTCTTTTTACCTGCCTGTTAGTTCTCAAATCCTTTTGATTCTTCCCACTTTGTTATTTCATGAACTAATGCTGAATCTTAGAGGTATTCCATCGTCAGAAAACAAATTTTTTATTTAGATCAACAGTAAAAATCCGATGGTAGCCCACCAAGATTTTTTAAGAAGATAGACATGTGTATCTGTATAGATATCTACAATCTTGAATAAAATTTCCAAGATGGTAAAGACACTTTGTAGCCAGAAGAAAAAAGCTGACAAATTGATGCATTATTATAAGCACAAAAAAGTAGATCACGTGAACAGAACTAAGCTAAGGCAACAAAAATGATTGTCTTTGCTTTTGATCTAATACCAAACATGACGAAATGAACTTGAGAATCAAAAGAGTTCCACTTACAAAGAAACCATACAATTTAGTGCTTTCCATCCTAGATTCCTAGGATAAAACATCTAAAGAAGATGGAAGTGGCATGTCACCCCTCTAAATCCCAAACTATTAATATTGTCAATACAACTCCTTGGACACACCAACAATTGATTTTATTCCAAGAAATCCTGTCTGTTATTCGTGTATCAGCATTGGGATTGCATATCACGAATCTTTCTTCATATATTTCTATTACTCCCATCTCAAAATGCAAACATGGTTTTCACCCATTGGTAGGGCTCCACAGCACTTATGATCAAATTAAGAAAGATAATTATGCTAATTTTCCTACCTATATTCTCCTATACCCATCGAAATTGAGAAGTGGGCAATAACATGGTAAGTCAATGCACGAACCGCACTTGAATGTACCAAACATGACTAAATTGATTAATTTATCAGTAAATTACAGACATACAAATAGATTAGTTTCCAATTTAAGGCCACACATATTCAACCGAAATGTTGCAGTTATATATGGTGTAAGGGTTTACAAGTACAACTTTACCGATATAAAAGAGTTCAAATATGACCATATACGTATAAATTACCTGTCATAACAAGATCAAATGATACTTTTTTGGCATTATTACATCAAATGTTAAAAACTACAACATAAATTGTTAAAATGCAACATGATAGTCAAACTGCAGTTTTGTGAAAAGGGATCAAATGGAGTGGCCACAGGTCTGGGCATATTATTAGGCCTGGCAAAATGAATTCTGTTATTATCCATCATAATGGTAAAACTCATACATTTAATCCAATCAAACGTAGACTATGAACAAAAAGAACTCCGTAACTTAGATAAGAAATTATGACAATTTAGTTAATGAAGATTGCACTGTTGCTCATGCACAAATTGTTACAAAAGATTTAATGTCAATTGAATTTGAATCAAGAATAGTCATGATCTACTATGATTATGTTTAATTTATTGCTCTCAAACTTAGATCATCATTTTAATTACCAACTTGCTACTAAAGAATTGCACCTTGTTCTTTGCGGGGACTAACTAATGACTTGTATCTCAATTTGGCCATTGATTACTAATAATAGTCTACCATAAATAAAGATGTTTTACAATCATTAATACTAGTGTAACACCTAGGTTTAGTTCCACATTGGAAGTGGGGGCGCTAAGATTTAGAATGACATATAAGAGTCTGATGGAGATACAATTGTTATCTTCAGCTTAAGTATTTTTGTCAATTATTTGGGCTCAACGATGCTAACAGACCAGGCTCGAGTAGAAAAAGACTATCTGTAGTCATGTGATTTTATGTTTATAACAGCAACGGACAGTTGTTAATCATGTGATGCTTCATAGATTTAAATGCTGAGTAACTATAAGACAACATATATAAAAAGTTTGTCATTGAGATAAGAATGTTGAGGTGCATGTATGGAATACTAAGAAGTTTGTGTTGTTGATATAAGAATGTTGAGGTGATTGTACGAAATTACTATAAAATATGAGAAAGAATTATTTTTTATTCGTGAATATTCATGAACAATTTATTATGATGAGGAAGCACCATTTAAGATGGTATGAGCATGTGCTAAGGAGACCTATAGATATTGTAGTTATAAGATGTGAAACTATTAATTTTGCGAGAAAAGATAGAGAGACCTAAATGGACTTTATTAGAATCTATAGATAAAAATTTAAATACTCTTAAACAAGGATATGATTTTTTACGGAGCTCGTGTACTAACCTCAAATAGGTGGGACTTTACAGTTTTTCTTGTTGTACAGTTCAGAGGGCATGCCCTAAAAGTTTGAAATAAATCAATCACCGCATTGAAACAAAAACTGTTACCAAACTGAGATAAAGATATTATGTGCCTTCCGGTATCTTAGTATACCTCAAAAGATTAAATGATTTGAACTTTGATCATTTGGTGCTAAATTGTATATGAGGTAGTGTTTCTACAGATTGATCTTCACATTTCAAAAGATATAAGATACCTAACGAGTAATCTATTATATTGATTAGTAATCAAGAAGTGAACAAACACACAGAAAACAGTGACAATGTTAGGATATTTAAATAACTTTGCAGAGCTTAAAATAAGAGACATGGTTAATTACAGATATAAGGCCAAACAAGAGAATTATTTGATGAAGTTTCCGAAGCACTCAACATGTTGCATATTGATGAGACCTAAAGCAACAACCTTACTGCAAAAGTTTAATTGGATTGGACCAAACTGGTTACTATTTCTACTAGCATGCTGCATTCAAGCACAAATATTTGTTAGATGCAACAAGTAGATTTTCTGCTTTCAAATACTGTCATTGAAAGACCAAAACAAGATGATTCTATTTATTCAGTGATTCTATTTATTCAGGGATCTAAAAAAAATCAGATCTTTCCACTGTATGACATTTAAGATGCTTCATGTGGCCAGTTTCGCTACTAGCAGAAGAAGAGGCAATGCAAAGACAAAAGTAAAAAAAGAGATTGTCAAAACTTCCTGTATAAGCACAAGGCCATTTAAATCTAATACACATCACCTAGACCATTCCTTCCCTACCAAGGTCTTCCATACAATTTACGCACTTAAAGGGACAAGTGCACTTCATCGACTTTTAAGCTTTTTATTTCCTATTGGTTGCCCTTTTATATCTTCAGTAATAAGAAGATACCCCAACATTCTCCTGGAATCTACCCTAAAGATATATGCTTTAACCTATTAAGTAAATTGCCTCAGAGCCTAAGAGACGATTCATCTGCTTCTATCCCATATAGCAAAGAGAGAAGAAAACCCCGCCATCCTCATCCTTGCATGGATCTCAAAGATTACAAACCAATCCCTGCACGAATTACCAAGCAAAAAAATTACAATTTTTCTTGGTATATATTTTCACTTGATTCCTTTTAGAGACCTAATTCCTTTCCAGCTTAGTCTAATAATTATCCTAACCATGGTATGCAATTTCGAATGGTACCACCCGGTATGAGCGGTACGTACCGGTCCGATGGTATACCGGTACGTGAACAGCTAACGTGCTACAGTGCTACAATAGAAAAGAAATATTTAAAATTAGGTGTACCGCTCGATACACGGTACCGTACAATACCGAACCAACTTCGAAACACCGGTACGGTACGGTATTGCATACATTAATCCTAACAATGTCACCACTGGAGAACTGCAATAATCATGCAATCATGATTTAAAGTACAGATTAGACTGGAAAAATATCCACTGGTCTAATAATTATCCTAACAATGTCACCACTGGAGAACTGCAATAATCACGCAATCATGATTTAAAGTACAGGTTAGACTGGAAAAATATCCACCGGTATTTGCTGGTCTGACCAAGCATTGATGCTCGAACATATGATACCACTATGCATATGTTCCTTTTTACAATTTTTTATTGTTATACTCGATGACAGCGAAAGGTACACAGCTTGATTTACCAATCAGTTCCTCAGTACCTTACTGGTCCAATGGGTTCTTAAAACTGGTATTAATCAATAACAACAACGATAAGAGTATTCTATAATGTTCCAACTATTTGGGGACAGTTGCAGAACTTCTATTGTCATTGAGCTCTATACAAAAAAATATCTTTTTATCAAATTAATAACATCTAAAATTTTCTTTATAGTTTCCATTAAAGTATTCCTAAGTCTCCATCTACCTCTTCTCCATTAAAGTATTTATGGTCGAAGGCCGAAGACATCTGCAGCCTTTGACGTCTTCGCCGCCTTCTTCACCGAATACTGCAGACGAGGTGACAAGGAGAAGTGGAGGAAGCGACGTCGCCGAGGCTGCGTATGCCTTTTTCTTAATATTTTTTATTTTTATATATTGATTTTTATATTTTTATGTAAAATATATATATTTATATTTTTATATATTAATTATATATATATATTTATTCATATCGCTTGGTACGCCGTACCATACCATTCCGAACAAAACTCGGTACATCAGTATGGTACGAAATTTCAAACCTTATTCACACCATTCACTATCACTATCATTGGCTGAGATGCAAGCCACAAGGAACAATCATCAGTACCACTCACCAAAGGACAGTAACAGCCATAAGAATAAGCATTTAATGTGCATGGTGAGGTGCCAGGAGGAATGTTTGAAACATGAATCCTTCTAACACAAAGCATGCCATAAAGAGGCGGATCTTGGAATTATTTGTCTATGGATACACCTCACAATTACACATCAAACAACTACGAAGAAGTAATATCATGTCACCGTGCAACGTGTAAATGAAAATTAGAGTTGACTAACCTGGAACTCATTGTAGCGTCTCACGAGAGAGTGTGGTCCGATTAAACCAGCTCATTAACTCATAATTTACCTGGATTTCTGCAACAACAAAACCCATTGTAAATGTTAACAATGTCTAAACTTCATGTTAGCCATGGCCACTGCCCCATTTTTTCTTCTTTCATCCTCCCTTTCACAATAGTATGCAATGATAAATGAGCAATCATGTCACCATGCAATGCAAATGAAAATAAGAGTAAAATAACCTGGAACTTGTTGTTGCGCCTCACCCGAGAGTGTGATCCAAATTCACCAGCCCATCAACTCATCATTTACCCAGCTTCCTGCAACAACAAAATCAATCATAGATGTTAACAATGTCTAAACTTCATGTTAGCCATTGACAGTGCCATGATTCTACTTTCATCTACCTTTCCACACCAGTATACAATGATAAACTGACAAAGAACTATAAATGCTAGCAAAAGTCCTGGTTAAATTGTGCAATGCAAGTTAGAAATACCTTGCCTATAAAAAAGACATGTTAGAGCAGAAACTGAACTTCCAGTGCCAAATACTGGAAGTTAGTTTAAATGTTTAATGCAGAATCACTGTTCCAGCCATACAGATGTCTTGGTAAGATACTAAAATTTATGATATAAAATAAAAACCAAAGTCAAGCATAAAAGAAACCACAATGCACTGAAATTTAGCCAACTGAAATAATAACTTTTACTTCGAAACTAAAAGAGGTTCAAACAGTTTCACCCCCAGCAGCTGAAGTAAAAAACAGTAGCAACTGCTATATCATGCACTTACACAACAGTTTTGAAGCAACAGACCTGGTGATAGGTTATAAGGTCTTGAAGGATGTCCATCTTCCATAGGAGAAGAAAATGCCTAGTCAAGCAACAGAGAGTATTTGAATTAAGCAAGGAAAGAAAAAATAAGTGAAAACCAAGGGCAATATCATGATAACCAAACAGCACAGCAACTCATGTTAACAAACAGAATTATAATAAATCATGTCAACACAACGTGATTAAAATTCAGGACATTCAAAAAATGAACATGAAAAACTTTACAAACTGCATAAGTTGTTCCAAAACCACTATGATCCTAAAGAAAATGCTTTACTCTCAGCAAGCTTCTTTAAAAGAAGACAAGCTTTATAACCATAACAAGATAAATTTAAGAACTGGCATTATTTCCAAAACCAAAATTTAATGAGGCCAAATCCATAGCTAAAAATAAATTTAAAAATGATTACCCAAAAAATAAGAATATGATATAGATTCCTTCTTTTAAAAATTTTGACATATGAATAATTGAATTAAATTCACTAAAATGTTGACACCTTCATAGTACCCCAAAATGTTGTGGTGCTGACATGGATATAGAATGGTTGATATAAGACATATAACTACCATATTGTCCAACTAGGCACCATATATGTATCATGTCTGCACGACATAAATTTGGGATTCACATGAGCTATAGGTGTGCCATGTCAACACTATATAGGAGTCACGTTAGTGCTACATCAGCACCATGTAAATATAATCATATTAAGGTTTTAATGGTCCCCACATGGATGTCATGCACATATATGCATTACAACAAACCCACATCAGCACCAGATACAAGCCCAATAGTTGGAAGTGTTTAAGTGTTTTACAGAGTATGGCACAGGTGGGTCAAAGCCATACACTTTACCACAGGTGGGCAAATTGAAATCGGGCCACAAACCACAGCTGTGCAAACTTTAATTTGTCGTTAAAAATATACTGGTTAAATAGAAATTTTATCCAAACTCCCCCATCAAATATTCAATTGCAGACATAGAAACTCAATTAGAAGTCATGTCAAACCTGACAAAAAAGGACCAGTTTCTAACCACAATCAGCCAGAATGTAACCTTCTACCTTTGATCACAATGAACCAGATGCCACACAAATTACAAAGGATGACAGCAAGTCTGTTCCGTGTTCATCATTAATAGCTAAGGCAAATTAATAACGAAGTCTGTGCCATGTTCAGCATTAATAGCTAAGGCAAATGAATAACGAGACATTCCATTCAGTTCCAAATTTACAGAGATCTATCATTATCTGCTTCAATTTGACAGCACAAAAGAAACATAAGATATTGACTTGTCACATGTAACCAAAAAGCATTTAATGCAACACCCATAAGAAACAGGACATGAGCTTTCTTAACAAGTAAACATGTAATTTTAGTCAAAGACTATCAAATGTCAAGAACTACTGTCAACAAATTATAGTATTGATTTTCTCTTGAATATGACCAGCTTTTGTTACATCACTTGGAAACATCACGACTTCACACTTTGATTCATAGCCATGTGCCTCTCAATCAACTTGTCCACAAAAGATCTAATCTGCAACAACACAAACCACTAAATAGTCAAGAAGTGCAATGTGGTTAAATAGGATTAATAAACTTCCTCCAGAGAGGAAAATCTATAACAAGTCAGGAAGAAAATTCAATATGTGAAACCCAAATGTATACATGGAATTATAGAAGAACAGCATAAAAATAAGGGTAGCTACATTGGTCAAAAAACCAAAAACAAATTGTTGCTAGATAGAGGTCAAAACTTTTTGCCTGATTGCAAGAATCAATTGAGATAGTCACTATATGAGAAGTTGAGCAAACCTTGTTCTTCCGTCTAAAATCAAGAAAGTCATAAATAGCCAATCTTTTTTCTTCTTCTGTACATTGTTCCACAACCTGACAATATCAAAATACAAAAAACATAAGAATACATTTCTGAATATTGAATTTCATAACTGAAACATTCAGGTCCCTTGGTTGCAAATATAAACACGAGGCTAAACAGAAATAACTTCTTCTGTTGTATGTCAAACAAAAGAGAAATCAAGATATGGTTATCATGATACAAAAATCATGACACCAGAAAATGGCATGATAGAGCTCTTCTCCTTGCGATGTTGCATTAACAATAGACGATATAAAAATTTCAATATATGCCCATCTAATATAAGCAAAATGCTAAGAAAAATGAGGTACTGACCCAAGTGCTCATGGGCTAAAAGAATAAGGGTTCACCTTGGTTGCAGTTCTCTTCATTATTGATTTATAACCTTCTCTGTCAATCTTCCTAGTTCTGTACAGAGGCATCAGTAGGGAAGCTACATAATCCACAACACCTTGTTTAATATAGTTCACTCCTCTTTGCTGATGCTCTAGAGATGATTTGTTTTCTGCTACTTGTAAGGCAGCATCTGCCCCAGTCTGACATTGGTTCCTTAAAGCTGGTAAGACTAAGTTATTGGAGTCTTCTTCATCTCTTATATGAATGCTGCTATAAAAATCAGCATCTGCATCCATTGCTTGTAACTGCCACCTCTCAATGGCAAGAGAATCCTTAACACCTCCACTACCAACAGCATCTGTATCAATCCAAGCTTTGGTCAATCTACTATCCACTGCTCCACTTTCTCCAGAATGTTCCCTTAGACTTGAAGTATATGGTACTTCATTTGAATAGCTGCACTGAGTATAGTTATCACCGGACATTTTTGAATTGTCAAGACAAGCAGCACTGACATCAATAGACCAATTTCTAACCCTGCAGTTTCTTGAATCTATTTCTGATACACAATCTTGCCGTCCAAAATTGCCATCAGACCACTTCCTTCTTACATCAAATTCATCCAACTGCACACAGTGTTCACGTCTCGCAAATTTATGAAAAGATGGTATCTTGGGAAGCTCACGCAATGGCACCTCTGCTTCTGAAGTTGCATATGCCTGCACAGCAAACCACCAGAAATTATATTCAAGTGCAACTGATCATCAAATAGGAGTATTAACACTCAGAGAAATAACAAAAGGAAAAAAGGTTAACTTAAATAAGGTTCCGTTAGAAACCTCTACAGCTTTAAGAGCAGCGGCACGTGCAGATTCTACGGCAGCAAAGGTTGCAGCTTCTTCAGATACAACTAAATTATCCTTTGTCTTTGACTTTGTGTGTACAATACTCTGTGAACGCAATGATCTGACATCAGATTTTATGCATACTGAGGATTCTAACTTGGTGGGCAGGATCTCAGGTTTCTTAATGTTTACTTTAGATGGTGAATGGCTTCCAGAAGATGAAGGAACTTGAATAGTACATTTATTTTCCGATGTTTCAGTAGTCATCCGTAGATGTGGCTTTCCTAATATGAGTTCCTTAGATCTGACTTTTGATGATTCTGAGCATGTTGCTTGCCTCAGCAGCTTCAATCCATTTACAGCCTTTTCCTTGCGGAAAACTTCTATCCACATGCCAACCAGCTGACTTGCAACAGAACGGATATCTCGACTAGTATGCACACATACCTTATCTTTAATGGTTCTTCCGATTCCTGCAACAGGAGGAAATGCCTGGTATTTAAGATCAATATTGCTGACTGAGCATCACATATAGTCCAAAATGACTCAATGCAATTCACGTAAAAATAATAGTAAAATATCTCACACTATAGTAGCACAAGTTACTAAACAGATTCACAAAAATATAAAAGGCAAGAGAATGTGATGCTTGTGAACTAAATGCATGCATTAGACTTGCTAAACCAACAAACAGAACTTCCAATCTCAGAATCAACACTACTCTTAGGACTTCTAAAGTATTATAGAATGAAAACGACAAAAAAAAAAAGAGTCAAACAATGGTTGACCAGATCAGAAGATTTTCCGTGGGTTATAGATTGCAAATCACAAATACTTTGAATTTCATTATAAAGCACAAATACTTCATATTTCTGGTTTTATTCATACTGGACACATGTTTGATGTGATACTTCATAATTTGTGAATACTTCCACAAATTAATTCTCTTTAAAAATGATCTAAAGAATGAATTCTTCTGGGCAAGAATTTAAATTTCGATGGTACCAGTTTCAGCAACCAATCAAATCATTATGGTGTTGGTATATAGGGTGGTACACAAGTCTAGAACAAGCAGGTATAACTGAAAAGAAAAGAAATTTAATACCAACCTATATGGCCCAGGACAGGTCCTTGGTTGGACCAATAATTATTGATTGATACATACCTGTCTAGTTAGTGTTTGAAACTTTGCTACTAGGATACTTTGGAAACATTTTTGTTATATATTTTGAAAAAAAATACAGTACAGGAAACTGCCAATACCATACCAGTCCATGCAAGGGTCGGTATTGATGCCAAACAAATTCCAGTCCTTGCTGAACTGCACTCATTTTTAATCCCATTCTCAGATTGTCTCCTTTTTTTTCTTCCTTGCAACCACTATGTTGCTTGCTATTAAAGTCAGCCTCTACTTCAAAACTGTCTGGCAAATCCCACTTTCCTCTGCTGCATACAAAGTAACTCCTCCCACATTCAGTGCATACTCCATGTGTCTCATAGGTACTGGTGCATCTATCTAGGAGATTAGAGCTGGACTCAAATCCAGGTGAGGTTCATACTTGAATATGTTGAGAAGAGTATTCTTGTATCCAGCATGAAACCTAATGTCTATGCATGAAGATCTTGTCATTATTTCTTGCATATACCTAGAAAATCACTTCCTACATAATTAGTGAAACATTGCACTTAATAATATATTAGTTCTTCAAAGTATCCTAGTTGGCTGAGATCCTAAGCTATGAAATAAAATTTTAAATAATTAAGGACTTGATCAAGCTGGTGGCTACTCCAGACAATGCAATATCAAGATCATGCACCACTAAATAGAAAGAACACCCTGACTACAAATGCTAAATTCCAAACTGCAACACAGAACATGGTACTACACAACATATCAACTTTATGCAAACTCCAATGTGTCATAACCAGTCAAACCTCTTGAAAAGAAAATATTCACCATGGCAAAGGAGCTAGACCATTTGAATCTGTTTCAAGAATGCAAATTACAGCTCAGTAGAAAGAGAAACAAAACTAAAGACCATTTACTATTTATCATACATCCAACTTGACAAGAGATTAGGCATACAAGAAATCGTGCCACATATAAAATTTGCAATCAGCAAAGGAAAAATGATCAGCTAAGATGCATAGGTACAGCAAACTAACAAACTTCAAAAGCTGACAGGCAGAATATAGGCAGCGGTACTTTGATGTTAAAATAATGAGAAAAAAATTAATAATGTGAAGAGGTTTAAAACGAATAAAGCATGAACTAGAAAATTGAATACCAGATAAACGAACAGCAACTAAATCAGTTGATACAAGAACAAGCAGGCGAACACAATGTCGCAAGAGCTGAGTAGAATTTTTTCCCAACGAATCCTGTATTGAAAAGGAGAGGTGAAAACTATTTTTCAGAAATGATAGCATCTCATAGCATATCATTAAAAAAATAACCTTCTAAAACAGGTAAAATTACATTAAAAAATAACCTCAGAATTATCTTACAAGGATCCAAGTGTTGAGTGTGCTGAGTCCTTCTTTGGTCCCAGTGAAAGATTTTAGAGATTCAACAGGAAGGCGCAATAATTCTTTAGCAAGATGTAGTCGTCCAGATGTAGTTTTTGCACTAAAGAACAAGTCTTGCAATAAAGATTCCTTGGTGGACAATATATGTTTGCCATCTGAAGAGCTTTTGCAAAGACCACTAGAAAGCTTGCATGCATCAAGTCGCTTTGACATGTCTCTTACTTCATTTCGTTCACTATCTGACTGTCTCAGTGTAGATTCCATTGCCTCTACTTCTGCTAGGTAATCCTTACCAGTAGTTAAGATGTCTATAATGCGTACTGCTTCTCGAAGACCACTCATCATGGCACCACCAACAGTATCAGGGTGCTCCTTGCAGGTTGCTTCACCAGCAAAAAATAAACAATTTGCAACTGTTCTTCCCAAAATATCATAGTCTTCACCAGATGCTCCAACAGCAACATAAGAGTAAGCACCCCTACTGAATGGGTCCATACCCCAATTTGTCACAACAGATGCAATAGGATCTGGTACAGAAGCTTCACCAAAAAGTTTGCGAAGAACCATCAAAGCATGGTTCACATGATCAGATTTGCTGAAGGTTTGTCTAGCTGCCTTTCCAACTACAAGTGCTATAAGAACAGGTGTCCCAACTGTCTTCTTCACATTCCAAAACATAAAACATTGGCCCCTTTTATCTGTTTCTTCTGCAGTAGCCCCAAAGTAGTCTACGTTTTCATCCCAAAAAGCTTTAGAGAACTCCAATACAACTTTATTTAGCACACCAAAGCCAAGCCTCTTGATAGAAGTCTGCTTCCAATCAGGTAAGGCAGGAGAAAACTTAATTGTCTCTGCCTTCAGACAACCAAGTGGAACAGTGATCAAGGCTGCATCCCCTACATATTCCATACCACTCGATGTAATAACTTTGACTTTGTTTTCATCTTGGCCGGCACCACTTATTTCATTGGTGTTATAGATGATCTCAGTAACATTTTTGTTTAATTGAATATCAAGTCCCAGGCCTAAACTTTCTATAACTGTGCTGTAACCCCCTTTAATCATACAGTGGGGCCCACCAAATCCTCCATAAACATCATCTTGATTCCAGTGAGGAAGTGATACTTCCTTAAGTGATGCAGCACAACCATACTCCAAATGCGCAAAGTGCCAATCCATCACTCTTCGCTCAAGGGGGCTCAAAATATTAGTTTCAATATCATGGTCAGCACCATCTGTCAATCTAGAAGCTGAGGAATTTACAGAAGCATCCACTGTTGCTGAATCATAAACCACACTTAGTTTATTGAATTCTACAGAATCTGATGTTGCCTTAGACATCCGCCGCTTCCTAATGGCATATTCCAATCCATCCTCGAGACACATTTCCATTGCACCCTCACCATTTTGTGCAACAAGAAGTACCATGTCATCAAGAAGACTATTATATTCAGCTTCCAGAGCTTCATCTAAGTCAGCTGGAACTTTAAGACCTGTGACTATATCATAAAGAGGACAATCACTGTTCAAAACAGTTAACTCAAGACCCAACTGGTTACAGATTAAGGATGATGGATCTGGTCTTCTTTCAGTTGCAACATCAGCCTCTACACCAGTGATAATGCTGGCACCAAGATCAACAGGAACTGAAAGTGATGAGCGGTCTGTGTATACACGACCACCAACTCTATCTCGAGCCTCGAGAACAGTTACGGAAAAGCCTTGGCGATGCAAATGACGTGCTGCAGTTAAGCCAGCAGGACCAGCTCCAACAATGATTATCCTCTTGTGAATGTTTAGACCAGATTCAGTACTCTTATTCACCTCTAAAGATTGTGCAAAAGAGGAATGAATCTTAGCATTTTCTTTCACCATGTTTGTCACATTGTGCATATCAGAAAAAGCCTCTATGTGCTGTGAGGAACCATCAGTCTTTGATCCACAATCAAATGGTGGATCAATCATTGAAGGAATAAATGTTTCCGCAATGTCTTCTTTCTGAGCATCATTGCACCTCACCCCTTCATCATATGGAGAAAATTTGTCATACCCACTCCTTAAGTTACAGACCAAATCTGAGCACACAGGATCCCCAGCTATGAAAGTTTTGGGTGGTTCTCTTTCACATATTAGAACCACTGGCGACAAATCTAGTTCTGTATTAGCATTTTCCTTAACTTGCACATTTACAGAAGGCTTTGGCACACATTGCTCTGAAGCAATTCCAGCATTAATGTAACCCTGCAGAAAACTAGTTAGAATCTGGATGTCTATTCTTAACGTCATGAAAAAAAAGAGCAGCATACCTAATCTTTAAAATTTAAACTTCAGAGTATCCTGAGCACAGAAGTGCTTGGCCCAAAATACAAGATCATTTATAAGAAACCTTAGTTATTGAAAAACAAAATCCCTTCAGGAAAAAAAAGGAAGTCCGACCACACATATCCTACAAAATAAAAAAGGAAGTCCGACCACACATATCCTACAAAATCAGTATCAAAAACTCTCGTTTGTTACATGGAACCAAATAACTAAGACTTAATTGCAGGTATTCAACTTCAGCGATACTTGAAGAAGGATAACAATCAACATTAATAGATAATATGATATTAACTTGGAAATGAAGAAATATATATATCCTTTCCTATAAGGAAACTTACATTTTGGTCAAGAAACATATAGATCTCACGAATGAGGGATTGACGTGCTGATTCATCTTTCGAAGAAGCATCAGTTGCACCACAGTTCATAAGAGGAAGTATGTGCTTCACATCTTTACTCCAACAACCTAGAATAAAGTTCCTGACATGCAAAGCAACAAGGATGTCTAATTTAAGCTTAAAAAATAGCAATCAAAAACCAGAAATTCCGTAAGTTGAATGAAAAGTTTCAACCACCATTAAAAATAACCATGATTTAGAAAAAGATAAAACTAAAACATGTAACAAGTTTCAAAGTGCACAAATAAGAAAACACATAAGCTAAAAGCAAAAAAGGTTTTTGATCATGTCTTTAGTATCAACTTTTGAGTTAAAAATTACCTATTTAAAAAATCACGAAAATTAACTGCACATTTTCACGAAAATGTAATTTACCTGCAATCCAAATATTCTTGAAGACCACCTCTACGCTTTAAGATGTCCCTAAATTTGATCTTCTCAATTGGACTAACAGCATGAGCTTTTAGCCCAGTTGCTACTGCTACTGAACCATCATAAGAAACCTCATCTAAGGAATGTGCACATGACTTATCTCTTTGTCTAAGAGACTGGTCTTCATTAGTGGCAGACAAGTTTGCAAAAGGTCCTTGCTCATGCATTAGAACTTCCCAGTCAGCATCTCCCTCGTATGCCATGTCACCATGCCTATGTATTTTTGTATTACGGACCACACGGGAAATTGTTGATTGGTTATATACATCACACTCGGATACTGAAGATGGTTCAGTTTGATGAGTTTCTGTCTGATTGAATCTAGTCTCAGAATTCACCACATCAGGATCCTCAATGGTAAAAGGAACTCGACTCTTGGTGGAAGATGGCTCTTTGGAGGCATCATATAGTATGTGATTTACCAGTGAAACTCCCTGAATGTTTGCACTCAACGATTGGTGTATGACATCATCAGGTTGAGGATTCTCATCAGATGAGATGTTGGCAGGTAAGAGTTGTGAATTACAAGATCTCATAATATCTGTCGATTGATCTGGATGGACAACAACAGCGTCAATTTTTTCTACCTTCTCACCAAAATTTGAGAAACATAAACAAGGCAAAGTTCCACCATATTCTCCGCTGCCACTGACTCCGTGATGGAACCTACAGTCATTATGTAGCTGACACTTTTGGCAATTGATGTTTGGTAAAATCTCAGAGGAAGGCCTTGATAATTCATCATGACCTTCAGGTTCTATTGCATGCAGTCTTTCTTTCGCAGATGATATCTTCTCACAATTATAATAAGGTCTTTCAAAAGCTTCCTCAGAAGTTAAGTTGAGTATTTTATCCTCATTTAAATTTTTATCGCATGAATCAATGGACACATCATTATGTAAAGCCCCTACAACTTCCTTCCTCTGCCTTTTGAGAGAATAAATTTCTTCAGAAACCCCAGTGATAACTTCGTTTAAAGCATTACAATGTTCCTTGCATTTTTCTGACATCCTAAGCACATGTTCAGAACATGAACCTTGAACTGATAACCCATGAGTACCATCAGAAAGTTTATTTCCATCCTTAGCTGCTGATTCATTTGATCTATGAGAACACTGTCTAATCCTAGTCCCATTACATATCATTGAAAAAAGATGGTCAGAAGTTGATAGACCCACAGTCACGCTCCCATTGGTGAAATGTTTGAGACTATTCCCCTGCCTTGCTATCTTATCAGTAAACTGGTGAGGTAGCTTCTCGTCAGACGTTTCATAAGGACTTTGATTCATCTTATGGTCATTTCCCACACATTTTTCTGACTGTTGTTTTGGTAAAACAGTTATCTCGTTCGTTGCTTCAACAGAATCAGAACTCAAGGCGTGAAATGAAGATGGTGCAGAACTACCAAAATTTCCCTCATGATGCAGAACAGAACCACCACAAGCATCAAATTTTGCACTTTCCATAACTTCAAGGCCAGAAATAGAAGAAGCCTCATGAGTTGAATTTCGAGGTAATTGTTTGGAAGTTCCACCTGAACTATGACTTGACAACTTGGAAGATTTTGAAGTAGGTACCCTACCTTCTTGAGGCATAGATGAGCGAGAGAGAGTTTTTCCGGAGGCAGAAGTCTGTTTTTTCACCAACATTTCATCATCAGATTTCCCACCCAAATGTCCATCTGGTGTACTATTGATCTTCATCTCTGTAACTATACCATGAGGCTTTGGACCCCTACTTTTGGTGACAAGTTCCAATTGTGCTCCATCAGGAATTGAAGGCAGACCACTGTTTAACAGAGGAGATCTCTCAAGGTTTGGAACCAAATCTTTGGAAACCATGCCAGTTCCGCACATCAATTCATCGTCAGTACTCGGAGTTCTATCTTTTGCCTTTGTTTTTTTAGTCGGATGAACCCTTTTGACAAAAGTTGATAGTGAATCTCCCAAACTCACGTCTGAAGAATCGTCTGAGCTGCTGCGAAGACCTGAAACACCTTTAGCCCCATCTTTCATGGTTAAATCATGCCTGGATCTTCTGCTTCCAGGATTCCCTAGATGCCCTAACTGCACATTGTCACCTCCCATGTTGTCCACCTTCTCCAACAAGCCTAAACCATCCAACGGGAGGGATTTCTTTTCACCTATGGATGCGGCGTCACCAACAGCTTTACCCCTCTTTGGACCCTTCAGCTTCTTCTTGAAACTGGCTAATGTATCGTCCATCTCGCCGTACTCCGCCTTCTCGTCATGCCTAGGGTTTTCAGCCCTGGCACCAGGGGAAGCGGGCTTACCCTTGTTCGCAACCCTTGCCTTCTTGACCTTGAAAAGACAACCAATCGGCTGCTCGTCCTCATCCAATACTCCGACACCTGCCTCAGCCGAGGGTAATGATTTCCTCTTGCGCTCCTTCTTCTCCATCTTCGAAATCACCGACGTAGGTTGCGGGGATCCGGATTCTACAGGACCACTACCAGCGACGGAAACATTAGACCCCTTCTCCCGTTCCCTCAGCGCCCGCCCAGGGCCAGCCCGTGCATCATCAAGACCGCTCTTTTTCCGCTGTTTCATCGGTATCGATAATCCGAAACCGTCGAGGGCTCACGCGCCCTTCAGCAGGGGAGGGATCATCGGGGGAGGAAGGGAAGGGAGGTCCGTGATCGAGAAGAGCGCACCAATGTCCGTTTCTTGGAGGACGAAAGAGAAAAGATCGTACCGTTTCGAGGAAGGGCAGGCGCGGGAGGAGAGGAGGGGAGGAAAGCGCCTCACCTGAGGAGCTTTGCTGACGTTGCTGCTGCGTCGGCGGCGACGGGTATCGCCAGCGGGAGGAGGGCGGGGCCGGCGGTGGCTGGTGAGAGGAGAGTGCGGGAGAGAGCGAGGGCTAACGGGTATTTTGTTGGGGAACGGAGAGAAGAGGAGTAATGTGGGCGGGGTTGAGTTAACCTCTTGCAAGGCAATGATTCCCTTTCTGTGGAGGACCTGTCTCTCGCTCTCTCCCCCTCTGACTTGTGTCATGGGAGCCTTCTTTCATGCCCCTTTTATTTAATTTCTTTATTTCATAATAAATTTTTGGTAAACTTTAAAATTATTTTTTAATTAATAGTTTTTTTATTTATTCTTACCGAACGTCTCTTATTTCCTATACGACGAAATTATTCCCTACTCGTGTCTCGTCCATCGTCACCTCTCGATCTTGTTATTCATCGATTGTGGCTTTTGTGCCCCTCACCATTGTGGTTATTTTCACTTGGCTTATATAGTTTACGTTTCTACCTTCATTATCCACTCCTTAATGTTTCGATCACCTCTCGCTTTGTTTTACATTTATCAGACTTTAACCTCCTCATAAGAGCTGCCATCGAGGCATCTCGCTTTCTGCTCAACACTTTTATTGGAAGCCAAAAATCTATCATCATCTCTCATCTTGGATGTCTGAGCGATGAGAGCGAGGTTGCATTAGCGGGGATGATGATAATGTTTTACTAGCAAAGGTACGTTAGCAAGGTAAGGCATAGAAAATAATCAACTAGAGAGACGTATGAAGAGGAGAGAAGATGTAAATACAAAGAAAGAGAATATGGAAGACGAGGGCAATGATACCTCCTGAAAAGATGAAAGAGATAATTGATAAATATGGTGCAAAAAGAGGGGATGTAAAGCAAAGATTGAAAAAGATGGGAGGGAAGACGAACACGATAAGACCTTACGATAAAACGAAGATGGTCATGGGTAATATCATCTTTTAGGAATCAGAAGACACTATAGAAATAAATGAAAAATGATGTTAATAAGGAAAAAATAAAAATAAAAAAAGTTTTTTTTTAAATTACCCTATAAATTAATTTTTTTTATAGATATCACATGACTTAAATTTATAGATTTATAAAAACTGGGTGAGTCTCAAAGCGTAAAGGTTTTAACTTTTATTTTTTATTAGAACAATTCATCACAAATTGCTCAGTTAAAGATTATGGAATATAGAATTAAACAGTTCACCTTCCAAGTTCTATGATCAAGCATTTTAGCTGGGGCCCGTCCTTGCAATAAGATCGAATCGGGAGCCAAGCCCAAGCTCAACTATTTCTCTTCTCTTACCGGATCCGCGTGATGAGACTTAGCGGGCGGCTGGTTCCTTACTGGAGCTGCAATTGAAATCCGAATCCGAAATCCACTAGAGATGGTGCAATCGGATATCGGGTCGGGTGGAGTCCGCGTGCTTAAGCTACCTTACCCGTTCTCTCGATAGAAGACGTGTTGGCTACCGAGTCGCCGCTCATGGTGTCATGATCCCATACTCGCAATGCATCGAACACCTCTCCAAGTACTGCACCTCCGTCGCCAAATGTAAGCAAGCCCACGCCTTCCTCCTCCGCACCGCCCTCCTCGACGACCCACGATGCGCCAGCAAGCTCATCTCCTTCCTTGCCGTCTCCCCCTCCGGCGATCTCGGCTACGCCCGCAGGGTTTTCGCCCAGCTGCGGCGCCCTCCCGACCTCTTCCTATGGAACGCAATGATCCGCGGCCATGCCCGTGGCCCCGATCCGCCCGCCGGCCTCTCCTTCTTCCGCCTTATGCTCCGCGCCGGCGTCGCGCCAGATCACCATACGTACCCCTTCGTGCTCACGGCCTGCGCCCGCTCGCGCGCGCTCGAGCACGGGATGAGGTTCCACGGGGAGACCATCAAGGCTGGGCTCGACACTGACGTCTACGTGCTCAACGCATTGCTTCAGTTGTACACCTATTGCGGCTGCTTCGGAGCCGCTCACCAGTTGTTCGACGGAAACCCTCATAGAGATGTCGTGTCATGGAACATCATTATGAGAGGTTACGTCCTCGAAGGCTTTTCCGAGCGGGCACTGCATCTGTTAGAGGGGATGAAAGACATGGGCATCAAACCAGATGATGTCACGTTGATAAGTCTGGTGTCGGCTTGCTCTGGATCTGGTGATTTGGATCGAGGGCGATCGCTCCATTCGTATGCCAGTGAGCTCGGTCTGGTGACGAAGAGCCTCAATTTGGGGAACGCCATCCTGGACATGTATTGCAAGTGCGGAGACTTGGAGTCGGCACAGAGTTTCTTCGATGAGATGGAGGAGAGAGATCTGTTGACATGGACAACCATGGTATCCGGTCTGGCAAAATGGGGCTCGTTTCAGGAGGCATTGGCGTTGTTTCGAAGCATGCAGCGCAACGAGGTAAGGCCGGACGAGGTGATACTTGTGACGATGCTGTCTGTCTGTGCTCATATGGGAGCTCTGGACCAAGGCAAATACATTCACCTCTTGATGGACCGGCAGGGAGTCAACCGTGATGTTGTGATCGAAACTGCTCTGGTGGACATGTATGCAAAATGTGGGGGTCTAGAATTTGCTCTGCAGGTCTTCGAGGAGATGAGGGACAGGAATGTCTTCACTTGGAATGCAGTCATCGGCGGACTAGCGATGCATGGACATGGTCGACGTGCACTGGAGCTTTTCGGGAGGATGAACAAGGAGAGGATCGTGCCCGACGACGTCACCTTCATAGGACTACTATCCGCATGCAGCCATGCAGGATTGGTGGACGAGGGCCTTAAATATTTCAGGATGATGGAGGAGGTATACCAGATCAGGCCACGGATGGAGCACTATGGGTGTGTGGTGGATACGCTCTGTAGGGCGAGACTGCTGCAAGACGCTTTGGCATTCATAGAGAGCATGCCCATCAGACCAAATGTGGTTATGTGGGCAGGTCTCATTGGTGCTTGTAGGGCTGCCGGGGATATCGAGCTTGCAGAGAGGCTCGGTCAACGCGTCATCGAGTTGGAGCCTGACATCTGTGATCGATACGTGATGCTATCCAATCTTTATGCGGGTGCTCGAAGGTGGGACGAGGCCTTGGAGGTCAGGCAGCTGATGAGAGCCAAAGGAATCGAGAAAGCTCCGGGAATAAGTTGGATCGAGTTGAATGGGACAGTTCAAGAATTCGTCGTCGGCGATAGATCTCACCATCAAACAGAGCAAATCTACATGATGGTGGAAGAGATGTGGCACAGGGTTAAGGCAGCAGGCCATGTCACAAGCACTACGGATGTACTCTTTAACATAGAAGAGGAAGAGAAAGAGCACTCTCTGTTCTTCCACAGTGAGAAGATGGCTGTCGCATTTGGTTTGATGAGCAGTGCTCCTGGCTCGCCGATTCGAATCACGAAGAATCTTCGTGTGTGCGGCGATTGCCATTCTTTCCTAAAGGCTGTTTCCGAGGTTTTTGGTAGAGAGATCATTGCAAGGGATCGGAGTCGATTTCACCATTTCAGAGGAGGCCTTTGCTCATGCAGTGACTTCTGGTAGCTGCAACGACGATGGCCAATCTAATATACTGCAGTAACCTGTAAAACTATGAGATATCACGATTATTTCCTGTTCATGTACAGGATGTCGATCGGATTTAAGATCAATTTGTTGGTGATAGACATCTCTGTCACGGACTCCGCAGCCAATCTAGAAACATGACTCGTTTTCGAGCGACATGATCGCATATCGTTGTTCACATGCAAGCCAGCGTTGACATTGTGGCGCTTACGAAAGAAAGACTATGATCCGAATCTGCTTCGATACATGAAGGAAAAGTCAGCTCTCGATTATAAGTCAGCGGTCTCCGTTCTGTAGCAACGCGCATCTCCACAGTAAGGATCTCGCCACCCTGAATGCTGATGACTTGTTTGTTCCTAATCAAGAAGAATCGAAGAGCCGCATCGCTGTCAGAATTGATCCCAGCAGTGAATCCAGGAAACAATCAATGGATCACTGCCAGATTTTGTTTCTTGAGGTCAGAATACATGTTAGATCAGTACTGTGCTACACACAAGCTGTGACTCACTCAGCCTCGGATAATTTAAGTAGATCACGGTAACGAAGAATCCCGGCGAAGCTTGAAGCATGGCCGCCATGGAAGAGAAGACCACGTGCTATGAGGTAGGATAGAGACCTGACCGTGGCCATGATTGGTTAGGCTGCGTTGAATACATCTTCATCGCCATTAATCTCTTCACGAGACCAATCGGATTGGATGTCATGCGTTACGCCATCGATCTACCCCATGCGTTGCATGCCGGAAGAGATCACCATTACGCTGCGTCTCGGTGATGGCTCTACACGTCGAGGGCGGAGCTGGCTTGCGCAAGAAACCACTACTTTATGCATTAGACAACCAGCAGCTGACGCATCTGGATGCGTGGCGTTGAACGTGTTTAAAGTAACAAGAACAGATGTATCATCTCGAGGGATTTTTAAGGGGCTGACTTCACTGTCTGTCGAAGCCAACCAAAATTATGGTTGACTTTGCTGTCAAGCGGATGGGCAAGGCTGTGAGGTACTACTGTATCAAAGCTTATGTATGAACGAGGAGTTGGGGTCGGAGCTGACCCGAGTCCCGAAGCCTTAAATTCTAATGCCGGCATGGCCGACATGCTCTCCGGATGAGGTGCTCCCATCACAAGTACAATCCTAGGACTCTAACCCAATTTGACGCTTGCAATATATGCATATTAGGAGTAAAAAGTCAAGAGTGGGATGAGCTGAGTTGATCTGAAACGACAATGAGTTGGAATTGGGACCCGGCCGCCGTGTTGGAGGACCAGTGACAGGATTCTTGTGGCTAGGCTTTACGCAGCCGTAACAAAAGAGAAGAAGAAGAAGAAGAAGATGGCGGAATCCACAAAGGCGCAATACGCAATCTACCCACTGTGGACAAGAGTGGAGGAGGGAAAGCCGTAGCACAACCCAAATTGTTCTTTCCTTCCTGATACGATTATTTTACAGGCCAACCGCCCACTATTAGTAAGACGGAAAAGAAAAGAAATAGATGAATCAGAAAAATAGAATAAAAAATGTTGTGCTTGTATGTGTCCTAAAACTGTGAACCCAAAGGATTGAAACTAAGTGCAAAAATAATGAGCGCTTCATGCTACGAACTTGGCTGCTCA